CTACTTATTTTTGTCCAGCTTTAACATCGGTATCGATATCGGTTATCGGCTACATGAGTTTTAAAATATCGGCATATCAGATATCGGCCAAAATCCCAATATCGTGAATCCCTAATTTTCTCCCGACCTTACGATTCCTGATCGGGAGGTGGTCGTGAGAGGCTGATTGCCCCTCGTTACCCCCTGTACACTACACGACGCATGATAAGGCTGAAACTCGAAAAAAGGCAAAAAACTGTAGTGTAGGCCCGGCTTTAAATGTAGACCAGTGCATTACATTTCTGGCTTTATCTTCAGGGTTGTTGCACTACTGGAAGGTAAAACTCAAGTGTTCAGTTTATAGTTCTACTCAGACTGATTTACATAAAGATGGAGTCTGTTTACCAATTAAGAGGCTTCTAGAAACACATTCTTAGACTCGATTTTTATTTAGGGGTACCAAAATAAAGGGGGGGCTGAATACAAATTCACACTCATGGCGCAATAGATCATTACTTTGTGCTAAACTGTAAGATAAGGCTTTCAGGCTTTGTGGTTGTAACATGACAAGATGTGAAAAATGTTTTTAGAAAATTAACATAAAAAAATCTTCAAGTAGAATATTTACTTTATCGATTGCAAAGAAAACCAACTTCTTAGTTTTCATTTTGAAACGAAACAATCCTCTCTGCCCCGCCCAGTGTGGTCATCCCATCTCAAGCGTTCAGCAACTAACCGGGGGTCATTTTTAAAGGCATGCAGAGAGCTGCACCGAGTGGACTGAAACTGACCGTGCTGTAGCTGCGGGGCAGCCCTGTACCGACAGTGGAGGAAGAGGAGGAAGTGGCGGCCTGTGGGGGAGGAAGGGATGAGGGGGAAAGTCACTGGAGAGGAAGGAGGGAAGCTGTAGTAGAAAGATGAGCTGGTGAAGGATTGAAAACAGGAAGGTGGTTCTGCTGAGTCGGGCACATTTAGGTCGTGTTAAAGGAAGCAGAAAGTTCCAGAACTAGACTACAGGGACAGGAACTTAAACTATCAGCAGCGCCAGAGGAAAAGAGTCTCATTTTAAGTCTAACTTAAATAATAATCTGGTGATTTTGAATATTATCTTATTTATGTATTTTCTACAAACTGAAAACATGAACATGATGCTTAGGTTTTTTTGTTTTTTCCCTAAGTTTAGCAGTTAGCTGACAAAACAAGATGGGCTTCATTTTAAAAGTATTACAGATAAGAGGGGGAAAAAAAATACTATTTTTACATTTTATGCATAATCTGAAGTTACTTATAGTGAAGTTTATCTTTGACGCTTAATTTGCTTCTTATAAACAAAGTGCAATAATTTTATTTGGCTTCAAAACCAAATCTGGTGATTTATCTGAAAGAAACAGCTTATTTATTTGTTTTATGTAAATTAATTCATCTGTATCTGATTAATCAACAAATAAGCACAGATTCAAGCTATAAATGAGTAGATAAGGCATAGATCTGTGGGGATAGATTCTGATTTCTGTCCTGGAAACTCATTCAGTATTTGCCAGC